AAGACCAGAGCAGAAAGAAGCATTCGGAAGCCCTTGTGATAATCCAAGCAGGGAACCATGGTGCTCAGAACAGAGTGATAGCAGAAGTGGGGAAAAATAGACACATTCTGGATATAATTTGAAAGTTTAGTCAAGGGCTTCTTGACATAACAGACGTGGGATGTGAAAACAAGAAAAGAATCATAAATGACTCCTGAGGGTTTTGGCCTGAGCACACTGAAAGATAGAGATGCCATCAATTGATTTGGCTGCAAAGGGGATATTGGTGGAGATTTCCGGGAAGAAAATCAGTTTGAGGCATGTAGGATATGAAATGCATTGTAGATATCCGGGCTGAAATGAGTAGGGGTTGGAGAGAGGAGTTAGGATTTTAGGAGCAATGTATGGGATGGAAATATAAATTTGGGAATCATTGGTATATAAATGGTATGAGACTGGACAAGATCAGCAAGGAAGTTGATATAAACTGAGAAGAAGATTGAAAATTCCAAATCAGAAGGTTGGAGAGAAGAAGAAACAAAAAGACTTGGAAGACACGGCCACTGAGGCAGGAGGAAAATCAAGTTGGGAGTCCTGGGAACTAAGTGCAGAGGACTGGGGTGGGGGTGGGGGGCAGGTGATCAACTGTGATCAGATGAAAATCTGGTAAATCAGGGGCGCCTGGGCGCTTCAGTTGGTTAAGCATCTGACTCTTGATTTCGACTCACGTCATGATCCCTTAGTTCATGAGATCAATTCGAATTAGTGAATTCTCTCCCCATCCCCCCGCTCCTCTTCCTCTTGCATTCTTTCTCTCAAAACAAATGAATAAAAAAAAGAAAGAAAATCTGGTAAATCAAGTAAGATGAGGGCTGAGAATTTACCATTGGATTCAGCAAGGAAGCAGACATTGGTATCCTTGAAAAGAACAGTTTTTAGTGGTGTGGGGGACATAAAAACCTATTTCGGGTGGGGTTAAGTGGGAAAAGAGAAGGGGAGTTGGAGCAGCAAGTATAGGCAACTTTCTGGAAGTTTCGCTTCAAAGGGGAGCCAGGAAACCGGACAGAAACTGAAAGTAGAGGTAAGGACAAGAAACTTTGTTTCTTAAGATGGGGGAAATGATACTACGTTTGCTGAAGGAAGTGAAAGTAGTAGTTGAAGTTAGAAAGGTACAATTATGGGCTAGTATTCTTGAGCATTTGATAGGAGATGGGGTCTTGTGCACCAGTTGGGGGGCTGGCTTCAGACTGAGGACAGGTTAGTTACTATGGTTACAGGTGGGCGGCAGAGTACATAAGATACAGATGCTCGTGGAAAGGTGGCTGGTAAGTGGGTAGAGGAGATGATGGGGATTTCCGGAAGTTGCTTTCTGAGTGCTTCAATTTTCCTAAGAAGTAGGAGACAGAAAATCAGCTGAGAGTGAGAATGAGGGACAAAATGATGGAGGAGGTAGGAGAGAGAAGGTATGAAATAGTTTAGGACTTCTGGGCAGTGAATGAACCAGGGATGGCTAGGGTCATGCACAGCAAGATTAAGGGCTCACTTGAGCATGGTGTTCACGACGTTAAAGTGAAAGCAATTAGTTGTGGTGGTGTGTGTATTTTCCAGACCATGTGCAAACCACAGTGGATGGAGAGTTGAATGTCTCTAGGGTGGTGGTTTTATAAAATTGAGAGAAGGACAAGGGAGAAAAGTATATGTGCATGGGCGTGATTATAATGATTGATTGTGGCATTTTAGTTGGGTAAGAAGGGTAGTGAACCCCTTTACAGGGGTGAAGGACAGGGAGAGGAGGGACAGGGGAAAGGTCAGTGAATTGGAGGTTCAAGCAGCTAGAAGGATAGGAAGTGAAGATCAGAGAATATAGACAAGGTTATAACTTTGGGAGTGAGTAGCTGAGATAGAGTGAAAGACAATATCATTGGAGAAATGAAGTCCAAGAAGATAAGAAATGGGATGGATGGGGTGGGATGTTGCAAGGATAATTTACACACATGTGAAATCCCCACGAATTAAGACAGGAATAGTACTGGAGACAGCGGCAGGGCAATGGGAGCTAAAATCATCAAGGAATGAAAGAAAGTAAACTAGAGGTTGGTGGGTCAAAGCAACAGTGAGGGGTAGGATGTGCTGTAGTCTGATGCCATGAGGTTCAAAGCTGAGGGTTTTAGGGAGGAGGGAGGAAGGAAAAGTGGTCATGGCAAGAATGCCTACCCCACTCGGATTTGGCAGTGTGAGGGGGTGTGGGAGACGAGACAGCTGCAGGGGGAGCCGTGCCCTGAGAAGAGATTCTGGTTGTGTTAGAGCAAGAAGATGAAAGACACATCCACACAACAGCTTGAAGATACAGGGGATCTCACTGATCAGGGCAGATAGATTACAGAGGGCGCAGTGTGGCAGTTTCCAAAGTTGAGGAAGCTGGGAGGGGGGCACAGGACGGTGTGACGGAGCTGTGTGGAGGGTGCTGGGGAGGAGGGTGACCTGGCAGTCTTGGAAGACTGACATAGGCTGTGTGAAGGACCAATAATAAAAGTCCTTGTGGGTTCAAGGCAGGTGGCAGAGAGAGTGCATGTGTTGGGGCTGGGGGGCTCCTGTTTACCTTGAAGGAGGTGCGGTCTTAGTGTGCACCTTCCTCACATCATCTTGAACATGTTACTATTGTTTGCTAATGGCATTAATGTGCATATCCTCCGGCTAATAGCGCATTTTAGCAAGAGCCTTTTGGGGATAACAACACAAACTTCATGAGAGCTGTGTAAACTTCCAACAGTGGCGCGGTGCCATTTGTAGTGTCCTAGAAAGTCTGATTCTGGGTAAAGTGAAGAGAGTGTGGACGAGAGCAGAGTTTGATCAAGGTCCTGTGGACAGTCAGGCCTGAGCAGGCACACTGCTGTGACCACGGGGAGGGCCCCAGTCAGCTGTACTGATTGCCAGGGAGAGGCGGAGCAGGGACCACTGACGACCTGTAGGAGTGAGCTAGCTTAGAGCAGCCTAATGCTTCTGGCAGGGTTTTTTTCTTTTCTTTTCCAACTCACAGGTGTGATTAATGGTGGTTTGTTTACCCTGGGAAACAACAGCAATCACTGACCAAACCCAAACACCATTCTCTTCCCAGATACATTACAGTGATTAACGGGGGCCCCCCAGAGATGAGGTAGTTAGGAAGCATCTGGTTCCCAAATGCCCAGCATCTGCTCAGCACCAGGGGCCTGGTGGCACCGTGGTGCTCCTCACCTCCATCAGGTGATGCGGGGCAAAAGTGCGAGGGGGAGGGGCTCAGACAGCCAAATGGCCTTTGCTGCCATCATCTGGCACCAACTGGCACCTGGGTTCAAATGACACCCAGCATCGGCCTGAGGTCTTGTGCTCTGCACAGACTTGCTCTACAATCCCTTGACCATATGTGGCTGGGAAAATGGAACAGCCCGATTTTACCAATGCAGAGGTCGAGGGACACTGTGGTCCCTCTGGCCCCTGTGAAAAGCTGGCTCAGTGGCTGCCTCTGCTTTCTCAAGCTCTGCTGGCTCACTGCTCCCCACTCTGGGATGGCCCTGGGGCCTTGCATGGAGCCAAGGAACATTTGGACTCTGCTCAGTGAGTGGGCTTCCCACTCTTTCTAAATTTCAAAATAAACAGATCTTCAGGCCCCAGGCAGCTTTTGTGTATTTTTGTCTTTTTTCTTATATAGTTTATTGTCAAGTTGGTTTCCATATAACACCCAGTGCTCATCCCAAGAAGTGCCCTTCCCCATGCCCATCACCCCCCTTCCCCTCTCCCCCAACCCCATTAGCCCTCAGTTTGTTCTCAGCATTCAAGAGTCTCTCATGGTTTGCCTCCCTCCCTCTCCCCCACAATTTTTCCCCTTCTTCTCCCCCATGGTCCTCTGTTAAGTTCCTCCTAATCCACCTATACATGCAAACATATGGTATCTGTCCTTCTCTGCCTGACTTATTTTGCTCAGCATAACACCCTCAAGTTTAAAAGAGAAAAAAGGCAGCAGGCAGAAGGAATTGTCTCCTTGGCTCTGACTTGCTCTCTGCTGCCTGCTGCCTTCTGAAATGCACCCTCAGAGATAAGAGCTGGGACAAGATATGGACCCAAAGAGCCAGAGTGCCTGGTTTTAACAGTGTCCTGTGAAGCTTCAAAAATATACTTTGTTAGCAACTGTTGTGAGAGAGAAAACCCACATCAGTGGCTTCCCCATTACTGTCTTGAGGATGCTTAAGTCTCATTGATGCCCGGGAAGTTTGGTAAGGCTTGGTCTCCTCCTTGCTTGCCTAGGGCTCTTGTCTGTGAGATTCACTGAAGATGTAGGCTGTGGTTAGAAATCGGTATCCCATATACAGTGCTGTCAAATTTGATTTGATTAAACAGTATGGGAGTAGCAGATTAGTCTTGACTCATCCCACAACAAGCCATCTATATCCACCTAGAATCTTATAGTAAAATAGACCAAAACTGTGGGTGTATAGTATGGTCATGGAGGCAACTAATAGGTCCTATAAATGAGGGGCATCTAGTAGTGAAGTGTCACCAGCTCGCTTGATTTATGTAGATTTGATTTATGTAGATTTAGACTCTGTAGCTTTATAAAGGGATATAGAAGTTATTTTTTTCTTTTTTTTTTTCAGCAATTTTTATCTTCCTGTGGGTGAGGTTCATGTTTTTAAAATGGATTCACAGTTGTAAAGTTTACTTCAGAATCTCATGGAGTTGGATTAGAGACTCCATGTCAATTGAGGGTGATTTTTCGAAAATCAGACTTAATGCTGAGTTATGAAACAGATGTTACAACAATTTTCAAACTCAGGGTTAAAGAAGATCAAAGTGTATCCTGCTCCAAGCCCACTGAAAGTATCCATGTCTGTAAAGGAAAAGTAGATGTTATTTCCTCATCTCCTTTTGGCTTCTAGCCTCAAGGCCATTTGGTGAAATACCTCTCTGTGTATATGAGGTCTGCATTTATTTACCAGTGAAACTCCGTAAGGGAAGGATTGGAAGTTTTGTTTATTTTTTCCTACCTTTAGTTCTTTTTTCTCCATCTCTCAGATGTCTTGGATTTTTCTAGCTGGAGACTGGGGGACTCCCCTCACTGCTTCCAGTAAGAGTGCTGCCTTCTGATTCTAAAGCCTTTCTGTCGGAATCCAAAGCAAAGGGCACAGACTACTTTAGTTTCAATTCCTCTGTCTTCTCCTCAACCAACACTTAGAAATGAAAACTTTGGTTTCTGACTGGCTGAAGTGAGTTCTATTGTTCCTTTCTTTGTCAGAGGTCAGAGTCACCATGTTCTGGAATGTTGGCATGCATTGGTTAAAGTGTATACTCTGGGTTCTAGAACCTAAGTGGCTTCTTCAAGCACTAAAATCAAAACAGTTCTCCCTGGGAAATTGACTCCCATTTTCTCCTGTCATAGCACCATGCAGTTATAGCCTATTGTTATTTTGTAAGCTGCTTTTATCCTGTTACTTCTCTGGGTGCTCCCAGACCACGTAATAGGACATGCTTATGAATCCAAGGAAAGTTCGACACATAAGTAATGGGATGAGAACACTTAAGAGATTATTTTTGTTTATAAAACGTAAAAGAGTTACTCGTGATGATCCTGAGTTATGGTCAACTCTGAAGAACAGAGCACGTTTTCAACCCTATCAAATATTGAGGGTGGCAGTGGGGGCAGGGAGAGTTAGGGAAGTGAACATCATGAAACACAGAAACACTAAGGATAGTAAATAAATATGAACCTTACCACAATTTAATATTATTACAGGCTGCTTCTCCCCACCCCCCGCCTCCACTTATCCCCTTTTTTCTTGGCTATTCAATGTGAGGAAGGGACTGCACTTTTGTTGAGATGGTGCAAGATTCCTAGGGAATCATTTTATTCTGTAATTTGGGTTTTCCTTTCTCATTGTTCATCAGGTCAATGTAAGCTTTAAGCGTCTAAACTGTGTACCACTGTAAAGGTAAGATCATGTTTAAGACAAAGTGGAAAAGTATCAAACACCTGACACAGATGAATTGGTGAAAATCTTCCTATTGCCAACCTCTTTTTTGCTTGTTTGTGGAGGTGATATGAAATAATCAGGGAATACTGTCTCTGTTCAGATGGGGACATTGGCCAGTAAGAATACTATTTAAAAACTCAAATGGTTGGGCTAGAGGTGGAGGGAAGGCCAAGGGCTACATACTGTGCCTCGTTTTGCATCAACCCAATTGGCCCCAGGAAAACTCGAGCCTCAGTTCATCCCCTGCGTGGGGGCCTTTGAATTTTCTTAGTTACCAGTGCTTCTAACTCATAGTCACTGGACCTGGCATATAGGTAAAACTGATGGAATGTGCCATATGAAATTTTAACCTGAGAAATAAACTAGTTTCACACTTTTGAGTGGAGAGCATAGTGCTTATAAACGATTTTTATGGTCCAAAGAGAGAGCACTGTGAGTGAGGGGTTTCTGTTTTCTAATTGGAGGGTCCTGTCTACATCTTCTGCTTTGCCGGTCCTTGCCGGAGCTTGCCTAGGTCAAACATGAAGTACATGGAAACCCCAATTCCTGACAATTTTTTTACTTTCCTATCCTGTAGATTTCTGTCTTAATATGGTAAATTGAGACATATACAGAAATGATCTCACCCAGTGGGAGATAATTTTAAATTGTAAGTTAGATCATGTAAATCTTCAAAGAGAAAAATTCTGAATTAAATCTTAAATCATTTTTTTTTAAATCTTGAGATCACAAATTTGGCAGATGTACTACCTTAATAAACACTTTATATGGATAAATGTTTTTTTAATGTAGCTTAAAATTTCAGTGTTGGAATTACTTTTGAGGATAATTATTTAAAAAGTTCTCTGTTCCTCCAAACTCATACAGATTCATTCTTCCAGTACTTACTGCCACGTCAAAAAAATCTTTCTTTTCAAGGTGGCAACATTTCCTTGCACTTTTATTCTGAATAATATATTTTCCCCTGAATTTGCTGAATAGAATATTTGAGGCTTATGGGCTTCAGACCTATAAAATCTTCCATGATCTTACATAATTTACCTCCTACAAAGACTGTTTAGAAAAATAAAAACAGAAAAAATGTTTTGGCAAACAACAATGGGATCCCTGAAGGCAGGTTGAAATTATGTCTTTTGTGTCTTTTCCAGATATCTAGAATTTGTACTTCATTTTTTCACACTTAAAAAAACCCAGTATAATTAGTATACAGTATTCTATTAGTTTCAGATGTGCAGTATAGTGATTCAACAATTCTATACCTTCCTCAGTGCTCCTCACAGCAATTGCGCTCCTCAATCCCTATGGCCTGGGTCACCCATCTCCCTGCCCACCTCCCCTCTGGTAACCACCAGCTTGCTCTTTAGTGTTAAGAGTTGGTTTCTTGGTTTGTCTTTTCTTCTTTGCCCATTTTTTCTGTTTCTTAAATTCCACATGAATGAAATCATATGATATTTTTCTTTGTCTGACTTTGTCTGACTTACTTTGTCTCACTTGGCATCATACCCTCTAGGTCGATCCATGCTGTTGCAAATGACAAGATCTCATTCTTTTCTGTGGCTGAGTAATACTCCATAGTATATATGTACACACCACATCTTCTATATCCATTCATCTATTGATGGATACTAGGGTTGCTTCCATAGTTGGCTATTGTAAATAATGCTACAACAAACACAGGAGTGCATCTATCTTTTCAAATTAGTGTTTTCATATTCTTTAGGTAGATAGTCAGTAATGCAATCACTGGATTGTAAGGCAGTTCTATTTTTAGCTTTTTGAGGCACCTCCATACTTTTCCCACAGTGGCTGCACCAGTTCACATTCCCACCAACGGTGCAAAAGGGTTCCTTTTTCTCCACATCCTTGCCAACACTTGTGTCTATCTTTTCATGCTTTCATTGGACAGACATTTCAACTGAAGATAGGTTATTATTCTCCACCAAGTAGCATCTTAAATCACAATGCTTTAAGAACTACTAGATCAAACTACATATTTTTCACCTTACCTGGTTTTAGTTGAAGATTATTTTACTTTGGGTCTTCTTTAGAAAATGAAACAGAACACATTTCATTTTTATATAGAATAAACTTTGTTTTTATTATAGACATGGATCAAAAATAAAAGCTTTTATGTACATATATCATGTAGTGCAAATGAAAGGCTCTTAAATACCACAGATAGACATGTTGTTGGAAACAAAAGGAGATGAATCATGGGAGTTAGGATGGTCGTCCTGGAACTGCGGGAGGGGGTCGCCTAGTGAAAACAAAACAAAACAAAATAACAACAACAGCAAAACACAGATGCAGAGGAAGAAAACAATGTTTAAATTATAAAACAAATCCAAATAGGAGCATGCAAAATTATCCCACAAAAGTCAAATTCAAATCAGACAAAAACAATGCAGACATGCAGGGGAAATGAGAGAACACCACATAGCAAAGGTCGCAGTTCCCAGGGATTTTCCTGGCTATTGGCAGTGTGCTAGAAATGAGCCACTGAAGCCCACTCCAAAATCTTATGATTTTGCACCATGGGATGATAAATCCATTGATAAATCCATGCAATCATATTCAGGAGAACTGGAAATAGTACCAGAGCCAAATACCTTTATAACCTTGAGTATTTTGTTTTTGAGCCCTGATTTTGTGGCATTCAGTTCCTTCCAAAGATTTCAGTAAATCTTGTAAAATCTCCATAGGGAGAGGGAGTTGGTATAGAAATACGATAGGTAAAAAAAAAAAGGGGGGGGGTTTAAGATGAGGGAAATTAGAAGGTGTCACGAGATCAAATGAGCCATGTAAGCATAATGCAGAAAACGTCAGGGGTTGAACTTGTGAACTTGTAAATAAGAATCTGCTCCAGGTGAATATCCTAATATGATAGCCTTTCCAGGCCAAGGGAAACTACAAGGCTAGGCCTGGTCCATGGGACTCCAGGATTCCGTCTCAGAGTTGTGTCCAGCTGAAATTCTGGTTTATTCTGAACTGGGTCCAGGGTAAATGAGACTGAGTTTGCTGGATCTTTCTCCATATCCCTAGCCTGGCTTACATCTTGTCAGGCCTGTGGTTGTGAAATAAGGATCCAGAGTTGTGCTTCATTTTGACCTCAGCCTCTCTGGATGATTTGCTGCTAGAGAGTAAACTCTATGTTGCCTTGAATGGCCCTATAAGTAGGAAAACAGTGGGCCAAATGAAACTTTCCCACTGGTTTCCAGCAGAAATCTGTACTTTAATTTCCTCTTTCTAACCAAATTGGTAATGAACTCAACATTCCAGCAAGTCATAGGCCTGTGAGGTGAGCTCAGTACCCTACCCGCTGTGGGACTTCTTTCTGGCTATTCATCCAGGTGTCAGACAACTCACTCACTTCCATCTTACCCTCATAAGACTTCAGTGAGTGGAGCAATGAATTCTACAAAAAACAAAAACAAAACCAAATTTCTTTTTCATCTTCTACAAGATGTTAATGGAGCAAAACTGTTCTATTTCTGAGCAGTGGTTAAAAAAATCTTATTCTCCCTGAAGTCTGAGATCAATTTTTCTTTGGTCCAATTTAAGCCAGCTACGCTAAGGAGGCCTCTCATCCATTTAAATGACGAAGGACTTGTTTTTGGTAACCTTTCAACTGCGGGGGGTCTGCAAGCCTTTAGCTTTAGAGACCCAGGTAATGGGTATCCCTGGTGTTTTCATGAAGAAGGTGTAATTAAATTCCTGTCAGGCTCAATGAGATTTATCACCTGCCCAGCAAACAGAAACTATTTTTGAGTTCTGAAGGGGCTTTAGAACACTTTAATTACCTCAGCAGGGTGGGGAGGTGAGCCATTAACCCGAACAGCAAGTCCACAGTGTTGAAGAGCCATCCTGTTAACATATGCCAAAGCACTTTCCTGTTTGAGCTCGTTTGGTGTTCTAATCCAGAAACAGGATCAGAAACTCTGTCTTGGAATATATTTCACCTGACAGCTAAAATGCTTGCTTCCAACAACGGAGTGACATTTATTCCCTCGGGCAGCTCCTTTCTTTTCTCTTCACTTTCCAGTACCAATTTTCCTCTCACTGCTGAAGAAGCATTGTCGATGATGACACCAT